GGAAGGAAGGAAGGAAGGAAGGAAGGAAGGAAGGAAGGAAGGAAGGACTACCAGAGAGAGAGAGATGCCTGGTCAACTTTTGTAACCTGTCCTCAAACCACATTATTTAAAACAGGAATATACAAAAGTTGTCTATTTAAATCACTGGGAAAGCTTCAAAAATACAGAATTCTCAAAGCCTGTTCTAGACACAAGGTAGCTCCCCAGGCTTCAGGAGTCTGTAGTTTAAAAGCACTTCAGCGTTAATTCTGATGAATAGGTAGGTTTGGAAATCACTATGTATCTTAAAATACTAATATTAAAATCATAAGCTAGAATAAACTTGCTCTCTTAAATCCTTTTTGAAAAAGATCTTAAAACATATTTGTGGACTAAACTTTTACAATGGAATTTCACTTCAAGATAACAGAGAAACATTTTATGAAAATGTATCCTAATAGTGTGACTTGGATTAATAATTTAAGTAGCATTTGAATATAAGGTACTGAGTTTTGTGGTTATTACTGAAACCTTTAAGGTATTTTATACAAATTTCTAGCAGGTTTTCAACTCAAGGGAAGACATGAAAAGCAATGGCATAATCAAATACATTAGCACTGAAAAAAAAACAAAAACAAACAAACAAAGAACTATATAGTTAAATACAGCCCATGAGAGGAATAAAAAAGGGAATGAATGATAACCTAAGGCCTTTTGGCCTTACATTTTTGTTCCCAGTCCACTCTTCCCCTATAAGGGGAAATAAAATAAACATTCTTTCCTAGTTCTTGGCATAGTTATTCGGTGGGTAACTATTCTAAGTTAACTGAGACACACAAGATTTAAAGAGGTAACAAATAAATACCTAGGAAGACAGAGAAGTCAGGTTAGAAGCCTTATCTAGCTAGTGATGTAGTGCATAACATCATCGTCAGTACAAGCAAACGGAGACTCAGGGTCCTTTATGTGACTGACAGACGTGGAAGAGATCTGATCCTTATGAAGAATCTGTGCTTGCTGTAAGACTTGTAGGAATAATTAAATGCCTCCTTCACTGATGAGATGAAGTCTCTTACAGGCAAGTTGACAATACAGTAAGAATGAACTCCATTAGAAGGCTGAATGAAAGTAAAAGCTAGCATCATTGGCAAAAGGTAACTTAAAAACATCAACCAAAAAACACTGTCGACCCTAAAAAAAAATTACCCCAGAAATATATATATGTATGTATGTATATATATATATATATATATAAAAACAATGTACACATCCGTATCACTGACAATTACAAGAAAATAGCCATTTATAGAAGTTACACAACGCTTTCAGCAAGTCCCAAAACAATTTTGGGAGACAAATAAAGCCATTGGATAAATAAATATACATACTAGCAAATATAAAACAATTTCTGGTTACGAATTGTCATCAATTCTCCTTTAGGACCCAGAGGAAAATGGTAGTAAATCTGGTCAGGACTACATATATTACATGGGATTAAAAAATACAACCAATTAAACAGCTCTAACAATGATACAAATATTTAAAAGAATGTCTTAAAAGTCAAACATTCATAACTGGAAATAGCACAATTTTAATAGGTCCTTAAGAATTATAATGTGTACACAGGTAGCTTGCTGTGGCATGGATCCATGGCCCCTGCATTTACTACAGTAATGTTTGCTTTGTGCACTGACAGGCTGGGCACATCTCAATTCAAAAACTACACACCTCTGGTTAACTACAGCTACCAACAAAGAAAATAGATGATTGGAAGACAATCTATTAAAATGAAAAAAAAAGCCGCTAACTTGTTTCTAACTTACTTTATTTGTATCAACAACTTTAGAATTATCCAAATAAAGTAATGGAAAAAAAATAATGTATTAATTTGGTCTCAACTGTCAGGCCATGTAAAATTTCAAAAATCTGTTGTTCTTGACTCACTTCTCAGCTGACTTCCATACAGGAGTCCTCCTAGCATGGGCCTGCTTTTTTATTATTAAAGTGCCCACAGGTGTACAAGTGTTTACATTTTCCCTTAAGGTTGTGGGAAGGGCTTGAGACTGTATTCATTTAATCAGGAAAACTTTCAGCAGTTATGCATGTCAAAAATTCAGCTCTTATACAGGTTTGGGATTTGCTATATAAGCATAAAAATCATGGGGGCAGGAAATTAACTAGGTTCACAATTTTGAGAAAGAGCATATGTAAAGGTAACATATGTACATTTTATTTCAAGAAAGACATAAGACAAACAGCATAAAGATGCCCAGGTGCCCTAAAGATAAATACATTTCAAAGATTCTCATTAAAATGAATCTGTAGTATTGTTCCTGCAAGCAAAATACCTTTTTTTTAAATTAAAAAAAAAAAAAAAATCAGTATTCTGAATTGCAATTGCTGTTTTTTTTTTTTTGCAGAAAATCTGCCATGATTATTTTTTTTTAATGAATAAGGATTTTCCACAAAACAGGCTTGCTCTACATGCTAGATTTTTAAACAGTTCAGTGACACAATATGCTAACTACATACACAACAGATAATATAGTAAGAAAACACTCAACCTGATGAAAAGTTAAAATCTTCATTAATACACTGAAAACTGACAACTCATGCCTTTAAAATCAAAAATACAAAAATTAAATGTTTTCCTAAAAAGATCTCCTTATTTTAAGGATTCATTTGAAAATGAAGCTGCATGTAATTTGTACAATAAGTTGTACAAGTAAACAGGTAATATACATAAAAAATTAACTGACATACTCCTCAATTATCAGTTGTCCACCTTTAATTTCCAATACTGTACTTTCTTAACAAGCATACAAAATATCAAACTTCTCTTTAGAAAAAGTGCCGTTCTTTGACATCCTTTACACAAAAACAGTCTGAGCCTGTGGCATGTTAATGCAGTTGAGAGGCAAAGCATACTAACTTTTACAAATTCTACCTTCCATAAAAAGCCTCCTGAAAAGGAGAATACACGCCACTATAAAAATATCAACCTCTTGTGGTAGCTGCATTAGGGAGCCACGGCGTGGCGACTATTTTCATATAGCATAGAAAACCACTATGAGCATATTAACTGGTGGCCCGGGCGTGTTCTGTGCCACACGATTATGCATAGCCACTGTTAGGTACCAAGACTGTTACACAGAGTTTTAAACTGATTGTAACCAAGAGCATAACAGAGGTACTACCAGCCCATGCAAAGTAAAAATACTGAGTCACTGTGCTGAGTACTTCATTCCTGGAGAAAACCAAAGGCAGCAGTAACTGAACCAAGCCCAACAGGTGACTGAACTCGTTCTCTTCGAAGATTAGTGAGCACAGTGAAGTCTGAGGTATACCTTTATCCATTATATGTGTGCCATTGCAAGATATTACCATCTGGAATACATGTCATCACAATGGTTCAAATCATTTGAATATTAGTCATTCATATATTCTTAACTACCCAATCTCTTGATTTCTGAAGATTTCACCTACAGTAGAATATTACAGAACAAAATATAAATGCATGTATTTTTTTTTAAATGAAACTTACATGGTCTAAAAGTAGAGAATATTTTTAAACAAATATACAATATGCAGGCAGACAAAGCAGGAAAACGGCCATTCAAATGTATAATAAAAAAAAAATTGACTATTTCCAGAAAACTATGAAGCGCCTCAACTAAAAGGAATGCATCATGAGATTCTAATCTAATACAGGTCAGAAATGTAAAAAGGTATAAACCTTAACAGGAAAAATAAAACAACTCTTACTGGCCATTCCTGTTGAAATGAGAATAGTAAAGTAACAGAAAAGTGGCTACAAACCCACGGAGAGCACCAAACAGAGAGAAAATGAAAGTCCACTTTCATCTCTGTTATTGTCATAAAATCCTGTGTAACTACAGGTCCAACTGCTGGTGGCAGAAACAGAATTCTTTATAAACTGCAGATGTCCTGTACATAGAAAGTTTCACTGGAGTTGCACTAGTTCTACAGACGCTTCTGTTCAGCCTACCACTGTATGTATCAATCTGAGATAGTCTCTTTCTGTAACCCTTCATTATTTTTGGGCACCAAAGATAAGAAAAGCAAGACGGGGTACAAAAATGCAAAATTTCAACAGTAATGGCAATGTTTTTGTCTTAGTCCAAAAGGGTCCTGCATTCTCCCCCCCACCCCTTCAGTAATCTGACAAGTCTTTGAACTTAATCTGGGGGCAGCAAATCATGCAATCGAAATCTGTCTCTGATGTGAGGCCGGACATCTTCATTCTGTGTGGAGAAAAGATGACTTGTGAAAAACCACATAGTTTCTATGGTACAGATCTACATAACATGCATTATGAACACACTTTACTTCACAACACGTTAATGTGCTTGCCAAACAGAGTCAGCTTTTATGATTCACATAACTGGATCTGTACTGGCAGACCTGTCTCTTTCATAGTAATCTCTGAACAGTACAGTGGAAACTACTTACTTAGCATTTACATTGTACTGGGTATTACTAAATACTTTAGAGACAATTTCAAGCATTTGGGAGGAAACACCACACAAAACTCTCTAGGGGACTTGAGCACTTGTAGATTCGGGTAATACAGGGGAGCCTGGATCCAATCTAGAAGGCTATGGAGGGGTGGCCATGTATTAGAATACAAGATAAAAATAAATAGGAACTTAGAAATAGATAAGTAAAAGGGTTATACCGCTAAATTCTACTTTCTACAATTGATTGACTTATAAATAAAAATAATTCCTGTAAACATAGAGGCAAAATATGAACTACTAAAGTCTGGTAGGCCTTATTTTAATAATTTCTAATACAATTCAAACTGTTCATGGGAAACAACACCGGGAAGTACCTGACATAAGACTGCACATCACTGAATCTGTGCTGAGCCCTCTACTCTCCTCCAGGGAAGGAATACTATTTATTCTGCCTTTAAGCACCCCGGCCTCCAAGCCCAGGATTTCTCTTATAAAACCCATGGAGGAATGGAGCCTTTTCTGAGCCCTTGCTCTCTCCAGTGTTCCTGGCTTCTCTATTATCTTCCTCTTGTATCTCTTAATGAAGAAAGATGTTTAAACATCTTAACGTGCTGGGCATGGCAGCACTCAAGAGCCAGAGACAGGCAGATCTCTAAGAGCTGGAGGCCAGCCTGATACACATAGCAAGTTCCAGGCCAGACAAGGCTACAGAGTGAGACCCTGTCTCAAACAACAAAAACAATTTGACCTATTTATTTGATCCATTTTATTGGCCACTGATAAAACTTTCCTTGAATACCAGCTATATCATTCATTAGAGGCTTAGTGCCCTAAGGCAGAACCTTGGCAGATACAGGTGATAATAAACTCTGCTTCTAATCAAAATAATTTGCTCACCAGAAACTCCCTAAGTCAGTCACTACCCTCCCAGACAGTCTTTTTTTTTTTAATTAAATTTTTATTTTTTTATATTAGTTACAGTTTAGTTACTTTGTATCCTAGCGGTAGCCTCTTCCCTCATTCCCTCCCAATCCCACCATCCCTCCCTCATCTCCTCCCGTGCCCCTCTCTAAATCTACTGATAGGGGAGGTCCTCCTCTCCTTCCATTTGACCCTAGCTTATCAGGTCTCACCAGGACTGGCTGCAATGCCAGATAGTGTTTTTGTCTCACCCTGCCACACAGTGATCCCACACAAACATGAGACTGGCCTCAAACTCAAAGATTTGCCTGCCTCTGTCTCCTAAGTGCTGGAATTAAAAGTGTTACCGCCGCCTGGCAAGGGAACTTTTTGAAAGGTTTAGACTCCCTGAGGTTAACTGATCCACAGAACTCTATGTACTTGTGGAATCTATGTTCTCATTGCAAGGCCAAGCTCACTCTCAAGCTGCCAACATGAGCTCTGCAGGTACTCCTGCTGTTTATTTTTTAACACTTTAATGAGAAGACTGACTGAAAGTAACTTATAGAGTACTCTATTTCAATATGCAAATAGAAATAAACTGTATTGAAAAAAACTTTTTGAGACAAGAATTTCATTTAGTCCCAGGCTAACCTCAAGCTCATGATGTAGATAAAAATGACCTTTAATTCCTGATCCTCCTGCCTCCACCTTAGTGCTATGCACCACATGGTCAGAAACCTTGTTTCAATGTAAGAATACGCCTAAGTCCTATTTCCACAGCACATTATTAAGCTTTATTAAAAACAACAAAACCTTAGGGGCTGGAGAGATGGGTCAAGGTTAAGAGCGCTGGCTCTTCTTCCAGAGGACCTAAGTCCAATTCTCAGCACCTAACATATTACAACCATCTCTAACTCCAGTTCTAGGGGATCCAACACCCTCACACAGATATGTAAGCATGCAAAACACCAATGCATATGAAATAAACATGAATTCAAAACAAAAAGCCCCTATCTTCTTCCCTCTGCCATAATCTTTTACCATGTAACTTAACTGTTGTTTTTTAGGGAGGGTCTCACTACATATATAACCTAAACTGACCTCAGTTTGATGACTGCCTTAGCCTTCTCAGTTGGTTCACCGTGAACTTTAAATTTAGATTTGTTCAATATAGTTCTATTAACAAAGGTATACTTACCAGTTCTACAAGCTTCTCCAGAAACGGAATCAATTTTAGGAGTTCATTGTCATTTTTATCCATAAACCAACTTTCTATAGGGATTCCATTAGAAAGCTAAAACAATAAATATATAATTAGGTTCTCTTTAACTACGTTAGCCTGCTTTGGAAAACTAAAGAAACAGACATAAATAACTACAGTGTAAAAGTTTCTCTGAAAAGAAATGCTACTAGGATTTCACTGACAGCTCAATAATGCAAGACAGAGCCTAATGAATTAAATGAAGCTTAATTGTTCAGTGTCACTTACTTCCTCAGTAAATACAAAGTTAATCAACAAAAAAACTAATGAAAGTTCTATAATACTACTCATTCAAAAAAGTTACCAGCACAATGCTAGTCACTGAGGACAATGTCCTTCCTACTGTTTGTCCTGCCTCTCCTTGTTTGTTTGTTGTTTTTCATTTCTGTAGTCTCTGTTCCATTCTTCTGAGACAGAGGCTTGTTCTGTTGACCTTATAAACCAGTATAAGTCGTTTTAGTAACTCAGCTGGTACAGCAAGGATATAGAAAAAATATTAGCAAAACATGAAAGTTTTGCTAAAACCATCTAAGAAAATAATCCAAATTGTTTAAGTCAATATACTACAATACTAATTTTAGTTATCAAACAAAATGCTATTAATTGATTATACCTCTTAATTCTATTTTCAGATTTACTACTTAAATTTTTCTTAATTTATGTAGTTACTTCATGCAGAAGACCATTTCCCACAAGCACTTATCCATTTGGCATGTCTAATCCTAAAAGGTAGCATAGTAAATAGAAAAATCCCATTTTTTTTCTATCATAGTCTTCTTGGTAACAATTGTCTTCTTTGGATTTTTTCCAACTGAATGTCTTTAGGACTCTTCTCCATACCTGATAGGCAAAGGCTTGTGGTGAGTTGTCAATTATTATAGTTTTAGAAAGATCTCTTCCAAGAATATTTAAGTCCTTTATATAGTTTCCTTGTACACAAACACAATGTTCACGGAAAAGTCGGTGCCTAAACAAAAATTAAAACATTTTAAAACATGCACTGAAACATATTCATGTAAGCATAAATTTTATACATATTCTTTTCTCTCAGGAAACAAATTCAAATACAAATACTGGGCCTAAGCTGTGGACTAATTTCAATATAAAAAATTCTTAGAAAATTCTTGAGACCTTAAAAAAAATTACAGTATTTTAAAGAACTTTGGTTTACACTATAATGTCATAAATTACAAGAGGGAATTAAAACTTTTAAGTTGTTTTTGTAATTTAATTACCCAGGAAAGCTCAGCTCAGATGCAGCATTTGGTTGTCAGCGAGGTCCTGCTTTTTAACCAATTTTCCAGATGGTTGACTGAGGCTCAAGTGACTTGCCCAAGGTCACAGTAAGTCTGTGGTTAGCCCCGTATTGGAACCCAGGATCCTCCTGGCTCCCAGTCCTTTGTTCTAACCAGTAGACCACACATCCTCCCTATCCCTGTACATGCCAGAATAGAAAATATAAGAAGGTATGTTTTTTTGTGGAAAAAAAAAAAAAAAATGCTGCAGAGGCCAAAACATTCCATCATTTCAACTTTCCCCAAACATTCATTTCTTTTAAAAAGTGTGTGTGTGTGTGTGTGTGTGTGTGTGTGTATGAGAGAGAGAGAAAGAAAGACAGACAGACAGAGATTGCTTCAAAAAATGGGTATTGATGCCAGATATGGTGTACTGCTTTAACCCCAGCACTCTGGGAGGCAGAGGCAGGCAGATCTCTAAGTTTGAGGCCAGCCTGGCCTACAGAGTAAGTTCCAGGACAGCCAGGGCTACAGAGAAACCTGTCTTAAAAAAACAAACCAAAGGAAAACAAAAACCAAAACAGTTGTTAAGTATTATAAATGTAAACTAACAACCAATCTCACCAACTAAATCTAGAAGTCTATCAAAAACTGTACAAGTCATACACACTATAGTAATTATCCACATTTATAATCAATATATTATTCTCTAAATAGTACTCATTATTGATTTATAGGTTTTTCACCTTGAAATGCATCACGCCAAATGCCTTAATAGCTTGTCTTGTTTGCAATATACTACATAATCTACTACTTTTAGTCTTATAATCTCAAGAAAGTAGTATTTTTAGCTGGGCATGATGGTGAACACCTTTAATCCAGAGCCCACGTTCATTAACACCTGAGCCATCTCTCTAGCCCCAACAACATTTAAAAAGCATACATAAACTCAACATAAAAATCCAGTGCAGGTGGCAATGACAAAGAGGAAGTTTTAGGTACCCTGTCACTAAAAAGATAATTACCTTTTTATCTCCCTCTTGTCCCCTCTCTCTTTCTCTCTTATTTTTGGTTTTTTGAGACAAGGTTTCTCTGTGTAGCCCTGGCTATCCTGGACTCCAGAGCACTTCAACAAATTCCAATCTGTTCACATTTTTTTTTCTCCTTAAGTTTTTCAAAATCTAATTTAGTAGAACAAATCAGAATTCCCAAGTGTGTATTTTATAAACCTAGCTATTATAACACAAAGTAACAGCATGACTATTCCCCAGAAAAATGAAAGCAGCAAAGGATCACACTGCATACAACAAAATTTTTTTAGAATAGTCATCAAAGCAAAATCTAAATTTATATACTTTTATAAATGTTAGATACAGTTAACATATAATATACTTTGGTGAATAGAAAATACCATTTTTTTTTTTACCCTGTAACTTATCTGATCCTTTCATTTCAATTAAAAATTAAAGATCACAGTTAAATAAAACTAAGTAAGTGGTCACAGGGGAAAAACCTTTCAATATAATTGCAACCACTCAATAAAGGTTTTATTTATTTATTTTTTTTTTCCCAGTTTGTTGAGATAGCATCTCACTGCATAACTCAAGCTGGCATAAAACTCACAGAGACCTTCTGGCTTGTGCCATTATGTCTGGGAATAAAGTATTAACAGTAGGTAAACTAGGTTTAAGATTTATTACTAAGATAATGTGAGATACTCAAGAAAAGCAATGCCCAGCTTAATAGCTGCTACAAGCTTCTTACACCCTCTTGCTCTACTCTCAATCACTCAGTTCTTAGAGAAGTAAGTACTGTAGTCTTGACTGAAGTCTCTCCAGTTGAGAGAAATAATGGAATTGGTTTTCAAAATCCCCCAAGGCATACCTGCTAAGCAGGAATACATGCCATCTGCTGGTTAATGGCATATACAAAGAACAGAGTCCAGATGAGGATTAACCTGAACGCTTAAGCCAATTTTTTATTAAGCCAATTTTCCAGTTAGATGCATGTAACATTTTCTCTGCATTAAATGTGCTCTTAAGGAATCTTTTCTATTATACTTCTTTTTCTGTATGCCATTACAGTGTAACAAATGTTATCTCAGAGACAGGGAAATAAAACAAGATCACAGTGAAAACTTCCACCCACCAACCACCCGGCCCCCAGTCCCCTCCCTGGAATTCCCAGATATAAAGATACAGATGTGACAGTAAATAAATATGTTTGATTTTGGGACCCTTCAAGGTATGTCTGTCTGAAGTTACATAATTAGGAACTCTTTTAAGAGTTGGGGGGACTTAAAAAACTCATTTACCATTCAACACAATAAATCTCTCAATGGCCATTGGCCATTAAAATTAAATAGAATCAAAGTAACTGCATATATGAGTGTGACAGACATTTCTACTATTTCTTAATTAAATTTACCTGACCAGTTGCTTTTTAGGGTCTAGTATGTTCAGTAACTTGTCTGCATACACCTTCTTAGAAGCAGTAAAAAGAATGATCTACAAATTCAGGGAAAAGAAGTAATCATTATACATGATCTAAATATGGGTACTATGTTGAATAAAATAAAAATACAATGTAAATAGTTTAAGCACATTTACCTCATACATCTGAGACATTCGTTCCAGGAATTCCCTGAAGAACGGTCTTAATCTCACATAAACCTGAAGAAATGCAAACACAGTTTTCAGCAATTAAAAATAAAATAAAAACCACCTTAAGATGTTGTGCTCTAATTTTGGATATATTATAATTTAAGTTTAAATTTTAAAGTAACAGAAATATTTACTAAGTGCATATAGCAGAAGCACTATTTCATATACCAGAAGACTTAAGAGGTTCTTTTAGAGAGGTAGTAATTATTGACTTTCATTTTTAATAGCAAATGCAATAGCACTTCACTGAAATGTAATTTCAAAAAGCACTTCAACTAAAAATAGAAAATTAGAAAATTTCCCTAATTACAGATTTTGATCCACCAAATCATGTCCATCTTCCAACCAGGTAGCATCCATCCAATCATTATGCAGGCTGTGTGTCAGTGCTAAGCTGACCTGTCTCAATGACCTTCCTCAATAGGTACTCAGAACTTCTTCTGAATAAACACCTGTTAAAAATACCCATACTTAATTTTTTATTAAGATGATAATAGTCAAGAAGGTGGTACCTGGATTGGTGAGTTTAAAAACTGACCCCCTTCTTTAACCTTCATCAACCTACCCTTCTACATTTAATGATTCAGATATAACAAATGAGACTGTAAGTATAAAAGACAACAGTTCTCAAAGCCCACTGCTCAGGGTAATTTCCATTGTGTTATGTTATGTTGTGTTGTGTTGTGTTGTGTTGTATTATATTGTATTGTATTGTATTGTATTGTATTGTATTGTATTGTATTGTATTGTATGATATGTGGGTTGAGACAGTTTTTCTGTGTAGTCCTGGCAATCCTGGAACTTATTCTGTAGATTGGGCTGGCCTCAAACTCAAGAGATCTGTCTGCCTTTGCCTTCCAAGTGCTGGTATTAAAGGTGTGTGCCATCACTGCCATGCTATGTATTCTTATTTCTATGTTAACATTATTGCTCTTGTAATACACTACAATATTCAGAAAAAGCACACAAATAAGCCATAAATAATCACTATTAGAGTCCACTCTTCCACTGTGTTCACTTGGTGACTAACTTTTCTACTCCATTGAGAAGTGACTACCGATTTCAGATACCATAAATAAGTATTTATTAAGCCAAGTTAAATAAATTGTGACTTCCGAACAAGCTTGTGGTGACTACACATTTAATGCAAGCCTAGTGTTCAATTCTGCCATTTGTGTGAAAATGTTCTGTGACAAAAATGGCAGTTCTGGGAATGTTTTATGGTAAAACATAGAAAGCATGCAACAAAAGAAAACAAAGAAAAGTGACATTTTCCAATGACTTCTGATTAGACTGAAGCTGAAATTGCACTATGCACCCTACTGCTATTACAATGTTTGACTATAACACATTTTATAATTTGACGCTGCTTTCAAAACGATAGACGTAAGAGTACACTGCTAGTGCTTCCTGACCCTGACAATACAAAGAGTAAAAGAGTTGCCTGTCAAGGTTTTTACCTGCAGAGCAGATTCACCATTTTATCAGAAAGGTGTCACAGAAAGATCAAAACACACAGATAACATAATGGTTAATGGAGAAAAAAATATTAGGAAAAAAAGTTAGGTCTCAAATAAAACCACAGGGACCTATACCACGTGATACAATTACACAACCATAAGCAAAAATAGCAAAGATTAGGTACAAGCCCAACAAGGTCTATGTCATTGAGATCTATTAAACATGATCAGCAATATATGAATCAGCAAGCCCCAAGTTTTATTCTAAAGGAAATAACAAAAGTATGTATAATATAGTCTCTTTTTTGTTTATTAGATCCATTTGCTGGAGGCAAGGTATGTTTGTGGCATGTACATGCCATTCAGTCAGAGGACAACTTTCAAAAATCCACTTTTTTTGACCAAGGAATCAAACACTGAGGTTGTCAGGCTTTGTGGCAAGTTTTTACCTGCTGAGCCATCATGTTGGCCCTGAAAGTTTAATTCATGACATTGTTATTTAATTGTATTGTCAAAGATAGACATATGCGTCCTTCTAAATGCTTCAAAACCTATTCCACAAATAACCATTAGCTCTGTTTTCCTTCTCCAAACTTCAGTCTTATAAAGGATTATATTCTAAAGTACTCACTCTCTATTTTCTACCAACTATCATTTTCAGATTCAGAACTTAAATGGCTTGGATGCTGGGGATGGTCCTTTCTGCCTAGCCTTCTCAATGCGACCATGCCTAATCAAACTCAACTCTTAACTGTGCACAAGAGAACAAAAGAATGATTTTACTCTAGTTAAATATGTTCTTGCAAATCTACAACAATGCTATTTGGTTTAAATCTGTTGTCAATAAACCAAATATATTTTGAAAAACATGTAAGTTTAAAAATAATGCGCTAGTGACAGTAACACGTGATTACTATCTACAAGACTGACAACCATTCACAAGTGGGGATTTGTAAATATGTGCACCATGCCATATCTTTAAAAATGAAAAACATTATAATCTGCTGGGTGGTGGTGAGGATGCATATCTTTAGTCCCAGCCTTCAGGAAGCAGAGGCAGGAGGATCTCAATGAATTTAAGGCCAGCCTGGTCTACACAAAGGGAGTTTCAGGACAGCCAAGATTACACAAAGAAACTATGTAGAAAAACAACAAAAACAAAACTATTAGACTCTATTAGAAAAGTGTTTTACAAAAATTTAAATTTTATATAATAAGAAAATGGTACCCTGCATTAACAGTACAATAACACTACTTGACAATGAATAGCTTGTTTCTGTATCCTCTTTTGTATCATGTCAATGAAAACTATATGTACATGGTACTAATAAAACACGAACAGAACCACAAATAATTTTGTCAGTTACATAGAAGAATACTTACAAACTGACCATAAACACTGAATTGTTAAGTCTAGTTAAGTTCAAATTTAACTTATTACTATTAGTTTATTAACCTCCCATCTGTTATTTTATCAATAGGACCAAAAAGCAGAGTGAAATCTACCTACAAATAAGCTGCTTGTTTCTACTAGTCTTCCTAAAAGAAATATTTTACATGATTTTTAAGCCCAGACAGTATGACAATAACATGAAAAAAAATTCTTTCACTAGCCATCATGGCATGGCACACACCTTTATTTCCAGCACTTGAGAGGCCCAGGCAGGCTGATCTCTGAATTTGAGGCCAGCCTGGTCTACAGAGCCAGTTTCAGGATATCCCAGGGCTACAAAGAGAAACCGTCTTAAAAAAAACAAAAACAAACAAAAAAACCTTTTTTTTCAATACTTTCTTTAGGATGTCTTTTGAACTTACTGATTTACCATGATAATTTAAAAAATAATAATAAATTTATAGAGTGGAAGTATAGTTCAAGGTTTACATGTATACTTGGCTTAGGCAGGACCCATCAAGAGCAACAAAAGAAAAATACATTTGATAGAGTTCATTTAACCCCGCTACTCCAGAGGCTAAAGCAGGAGGATTTCATTGAGTTTATTAAGAGGTAAAACACAAAATATACACCAGAGCAAGTACACTAGGTTTTTCTTTAAACAAGAGGACACTTAGTGAGCACACTTATTTAACACGCAGAGACAAGTGCAATAGCACACCTCATGTCAAAATGTGATCTCAGCACATGGGCAGCTGAAAGCAGAAAACAAAGGATGCTAGTTTTTAAGGAATGAAATGCTGTGATTATCTGGGAGGAAGATCCCTGATTAATAGATACACATGTATACAAAGTAGCTCTGCCAATTTCCAAACTTTTGGACACCTTAGTTCCCTCATCTACAAAATGAACTTCAGTGTTATGAAGGTTAAATAATACTCATAAAGCATTTGGTATTGTGGCCACCACATTTAAAGTGACCTAGCTCTTTACTTGTGGGGTAAAACTGAGCAACCACAAGTCTAAAGAGAACTTAGACTACCACCCAGTCCCTTAAAAGAAATATTACTGACTCTCACTAACATTTTCTTAGCACCAGTACCAAGCACAGAAACAAAGGCCAAATCTTCTGTTTCTCCAAGAACAGAAGGCTACTCAAGTAGGAGCCATGGAGGCTCAACTTCATAACCCATAGGTCAGTCATCATTTGCTCCACCTAGTTCCAGTAAGAGGCAGGGGTGATATTTGTCGAGAGAATCAAACTGGGAATGAATAGTTAAGAACTAAAACATCAGAACCAGTATTTTCCCTAATGAAGCAAAATTCAATCTGAAAAGGGATTTACAGTCAAACTGGACTAAAGTATAATGTTCATTATGGGAAAATGGCCATTTATTTGTACATAAATTTAAGTACATGAAACTTTAATGACTATATTAAGAGAAACTACAATTACTTTTAAGATCGAAAAAGTAGCCATTTAAGTAACAATATGTTGCCTTTAAGAAACACTCTAGCATACACCAGAATGGTGGCTCAAGCCTTTAATCCCAGCATTCTAGAGGCACAGGCAGGCAGGTCTCTGTGCTATTAAGGCTACTCTTGTCTAACTAAGTTGGCTGGCCAACTACTCCTGGCTAGTTGTAGGCCTTCCTTCCAGTAGCAGCAGCAGCAGTGGTGGCATCAGTAACAACAACAACAAATCATTCTAGCAAGCAATTATAAAATTGAAGGATTGTGAGTTCTAGGCCAGCCTGGGCTACACAGTGAGACTCTATCTCAAAACTAAATAAAGTTAAATAAGATCACTCTCAAAAAAATCATTCTAATGGTAGTGGAGCCTCCAATTTAGTGCATATTGTAATCAACTCTCATCTCTTCATATTTAAAATATTTTAAATCCCCGCTATTATATAGCCCAAGCAAGCCCCAGACCCATTCTCTCCCTGCTTTAGCCTTCTGAGCTGCGATGACAGGTATGTCTCACCTGTCTGGCTATATAATCTGTTGTTTTGTTTTCTAAACTATTCCTAATTTGAAAAAGATACTTAAAGAACTCATGAAATATATTTTCTAATAAGCAGAAAACTATAGGTTTAACTTATATTACTAATAATTATAATGAATACAGTGTCAATGATTACTTACTAAGGATGGGAAAGTTAAATTAAAATTGTTCTGATGTATTGTTTTTAACACTTTCTACAAGTAAGTTACTATCCAAATACTGTTCTTGCCTTAGCTAAAAGTGACATCAGGACTAAATATTCATAACCCCAAATATATACAAGGCATAATTATGTACAAATATACATACTTACATACAATAAAAGTAAATTTATAAAACTCAGCAACAAATGCCTAATTGTAAAGTCAGAATTTGCAAAAGAGAAAATGTAATCAGGTGTTTACAACAGAATTCTTCCCCTTATTTATTTTTCTCTTCATGGAGCAAAAATAAAGCTGGTTTTTCTAGGAAGAGTTAGAAGCCATAACACTTGTAATTCTCTTTTTGTAGTGTGAAAAATATCCTGAGCTATATGATTGCCAGTAAAGCAAAGTAGGAGACTGAGCTGTGCTCTCTTCTTCCCACCAGCTTTTCCCGTAAGAGCACCTCTACCAATAAGAACGCATCCTTTACAAGTACCTCCCTACAGCACCCTAGCTCCTCAAGTGCTTACCATAGTCTCATTTCTGGACAGCTGACCCAAAGTTTGTTGATTTTACTGATCCTCAGAAAGCCACTCACTGGCTAAAGTCTTAATGGTGAATACAGTCAAAAATCAGATGCCCCTGCCTTACTGTACAGAATGAGGAGATGGACAACACAGTTGCGTTTGGTGCACTGTGGTGAGACATATGAGGTATCTTCTTTGTCTTCAATCAGCCACATTTGGGCTGAGTAGCTCTATTACATCTTCAAAAAACTGAGCTCCAGTTCTTGATGGAGACAGAGGAAGGTCATTGAGGAGGTGTTTCAGCTCAAGAGCTAAGTGAAAAATGTCTTTTGATTTCAGTTCTGCTTGTGGATAGCAGGCATCTTCTGGATGGAAGAGGGAGTGAGATGACCTAGAGTCTTGAATTGGTGGATCTGCAGGAACAGAAACTAAATACAGTGGAGACCTCTTAACTGAGTAACACCATGAGATGGATTTCCTGACAATGTGTCAATATTTAACTACAAGTTTAAACGTGCACTGGAAGTGATCATGCACCTGTTTTTCCAAATTAAATGCATCTATACCATTTTATGAATAAATCCTTTCTCAATCCTTATGCAACAATTTTAAGGGAAAATGTGTATTAAAAAGTACAGCAATTCAATTAACCTGTACCTTTTTCAAATTAGTCCTTTCATATTTTTCATAGACATAAGCAAGTCTATGATGTAACATGTCAACCTTGAGATGGATCTTTTGGTTTTTTTTTTCTCCATATGAAATGGAATTCATGTAAATACTAAATACTAAAGGATGTTATTATATGAACTTATCCCTATTTCCCAAAATAAGAGTATATATTTTGAAGTATGGCAATCTAAATATAAATACAAGTAGCTACCTAAAGCTTCTCTCAGTCTTAGAAAAGCCTATCACCACATCACCATAAATCTAAATTTTATATATAAAAATAAGAATTCTGATGAACATTTGATTACTCACTTCCACTCAGAATTTACAAATTTATAGTATTTACTCATAATTATTAGATTGTAATTGAGCAAATTTAGGCCTGTTAGCCAAATGCAACCTACCCCTTATTAAAATATTAAGTTTAATTGGAGTACAACTCTATTTTTGTCTATTTTTTGAGACAGGGTCTATGTAGTCCACTCTGGCCTCACACCAATGGTCTTCCTGCCACAGGCTCCCTTGTACTGGGATTGCAGTGCTGGTTTACAGGTGTAGGCTACCCCTTCTGCCTAACTCTTTGCATGGATGGTTTGCCTCATGTTGGAATGGCAGAAAGAGTGGTTGGAACATAATTTGTTTAGCATAATTTATAACTTGAAACTGTTTTAAATTGAAAGAAAAATAAAAGATAGAATTGAAATTAGTTATAGATGTACCTTTACAAACTCAACACAAACCAAAAATAAAACCCAAGAGGATATTTTATCTTTCCTTGATTCACAGCAAGAAGCTGATTCTTAAATACACACACGCGCGCGCGCACACGCACGCACACACACACGCACACACACACACACACACACACACACACACACACACAAGAAGGGATTGCTATGGAACATACAAGTAAGTGCCATGGATGTGCTGTGTAAATTTCACCTCAATAAATTTTAAAGTAAGAGTATATACAGTATTTTATGGGTTTCCACCTTTAGGTGAGCCATGTTACATTACAGTGGTTACATATGTAAGTTACATCTTACCTAATAATGTGGTTTCTCCAAAATGTCTTAGCTCATCCCAGACCCTTGTGTATATTCTTCTTTGCCAGTAGATGGAGACAACACCACTGAAAGTTTAAAAGACATCATTCCCTGTTTAAAGGGAGCTTGCTGGTCTGAAAAAACTGGGGGAAGCCCTAAACTAAAGTTTTTAAAAAGCTATGTCAAAACCAGAAATACAAGGAAAGTTACCCAATATTAATTATGGACATCTTTAAAAATTTAGTACGGGGAATTAACTATGTCCTTCATAAAGTAAGTAAATCATAATACTAAAAAGGCAATAATCTCTAAAGCTTCTAAAACTCAAACTTCCTGCACCTTGCTATTTAGATGGCTGGGTCATATTTTATTCAGTTTCAGAAAGAGCAACTAAAAATATATGTGAAAAAAGTTTTTAGAATTCTATAAGGGTAGGTATAATATACTGTATCGCTTTTAAAAGCATTAGTTAATATGTACTATTGTAAGGCTTTTATTCAAAGACAATTATCCAGATCTGTAAGAAATAGCAACTTTTAAGAAGAAAAGGCAAAAACGGTGGAAACAGTAAGAAAAATTTCAATATATACCCATACTGAAAGGAGCCAATGAGTCTACTTCCCACATTATTTCACTACTCAAAACAAAAACAAGCAAAAAACAAAACAAAAAAAACCCCAACATCAAAAATACTACACATAAAACTCAGAAATTAGAATTCACAAATAAGCTTTTCTTTTGAAATTCAAAGACCTAAAACCACTTTTCAAACTCATTCAAAATAAATAAACAAAAACCAAACCACAAAGAACAACAAACAACAAGGCTCCTGCACTAAAAACAGAGCACCAAGTTATTGCTTTATTACTTATGTTGGCCTGAAAGCTGTCCCTAAAGCTGACTAAAAATGAACAATCTATCTGGCAGGAAATAGCTCATTCAGAAAAGCCTTAAACCAAATAATTCAAAATAGGAAAATCTTAATTATTTTACATATCTTTTCCTCTTCCCCTAATAATGTATCAGGCCTGTTATCAGGTTACTTTACACGAAGATAAATATACTATTCAGATATTGTAATGCCCGTTCTAGATTAAATTAGATTGAAAATCACTAGTAAAATAAATCAACCTGACACCATAAAGTGTTTGGCTAAACAGCTCTGAAATGTCTACTATGTAAAATCAACAACTGAAATCTAACAAGAAACCATCTTCACTTTGTACCTGCCACCACGAGCACCTACAAACCAGAGGCCTGGTCGTTACCTACACGGCAAATGCTGCAGCTTTATTAACCCTAAGGTGGCTTCCTCTTGACAAGAAACTTTTTGACCTTTCTCAATCTTTCATAAGCTGGTGAATATAAAGGTCACGATAACAAATACAAACACACAAAAGGACTCTGTGGTCTTCAATGTATATTCATTTATTAATTAAGCCAATCCTATGATGGAAAATTTTTAACAAAAAATATGGCCTACACAGATACTCCACAGTAAAATCTTAACAATATTTACATTTTGCACTGTTAACCTGTCCACCAACAAAGACAAGAAAACTGCTTTATATAAAGCAGTAACTACAAGAGTCCTTCAAGTCTGTGACTAATATTGATTAAGTATATTGAACTGTAATTTTATAGGTATTATTAATGTAGTAAATAAAAATGACCAACAAGGAATGAGCTTTCTTTGAATTAATTAGATTTATGGGGAAAAATAAAGACAAAACCCCCAGGTATTAACCTGGCAAGCTCTTGGGGATCCGTGTCAGTGTTCCTTGCCTCCACCTGCTGGCAAAGATTATGAAACTAGCAAAGATCACAAGTCAGAAAAGTTAGTAATTTTTAGTTACAAATTAATGTTTCATGTAACTATCTAGCATAATGACACTTTGTGTTAATAAACCACTGAAATACTGATAAACACTACTAATAAATCTATAGAAAGACAATGAACATCACAAACAATTTTTTTCTTGGCTTAGAATGTTACCTAATAGTTTACAATTAGGCTTAACAAGTCTTAATTACCTGATAAATGACATCTTGGAAAAGGACTGGAAAAGTAAGTGCTGCATCTTCTAGCTCATTCAGACTACAGTGCACTAGTGTTTCATCCTTAACAAAGTGAAAGAAAACATTAAAAAAACTTCAAACAACAGTTTTGAAAGTCAAGATCACCCTTTGTATGTAGAATTTCTGTCAGGTCTGTCAAAATAGATTAGGACAGTATTTTTCCTACAATCAATAGCTCTCCAGTGTAATTCTTACGAGCAATAAGCAGCATCAGAACCCGCAGAGCTATTACAGCTCTATCCCTGATGATTCACACATTCAGTGGGCTGCGATAAGCTTTCCAGGCATCTCTAGAGCAGACTTAAGTTTGCAAACCAATGCTCTTAGTTCTCCAGTTCAACTTTTTTTTAAAGAACATGTTACTCCTTTTGTAATTTAACTTATTTAGTTTTTTAAAGACAGTCTTACTCTGTAGTCTAGGCTGTCTTCAAATTCATGATCCAGTCTTCTTGTATCACCTCCTAATGCTAAGAGTACAGAACCATGGCCCAACACAATCTACTTATGCTAACTACATTTCTTTGAAATAACTCATGTAAGAATCTAATTTTTTTTCATACAACTCATCTTCAAACTTTTAATTTAGGATTAGATAGTCTATGGTACCTTAGTATATTTCATCTGAATTGATTAAATACCCAATGACAATTAAATACTCAATCAAATATTCAGGATTTGAATACCAAATCCTGATTTCTTAACAAGAGTAAGAAAAATAAGAAGGCTGTTAAAAAAAAAAAAAAATCTAAGTTAACACATTTCTTAAAACCTGAATGTTAAAAAGGACACGGGATACAGCTGCATTGGGAGAGTGTTTCCTACTATGCACCTCCAACTGATTCCCAACACCACATAATCAGGTAAGGTGGTACACGCCTATTATTCTCAACACTTGGAAGGAGGCAGGAAAAACAGAAGTTCAAGGTCATCCTTGGCTATCCAATGAGTTCAAAGACACCTTAGGCAATCTCAAAAATAAAATGAACTGCCAGTAACCACCACTAATTTTTCAGTAGGCTTAGTGAAGATCAACCAAAATCTTAACAGGCAGATCTCTGTGAGTTTGAACCAGTCTGATATAAAGGGTGAAATCCAAGACAGCCAGGGCTACACAAAGAAACCCTATCTCAAACAACAACAAAAACCAAACAAAAAAAGGGATAAACTAGGAAAAAAATATTTTTTTAAATCCATGTTGCATTACTGTTTTTCCTGCATGTTTGTCTGTGTGAGGATTTCAGATCCCCTGGAACTGGGATTACAGACAGCTGTGAGTTGCCATGTGGGTGCTGGGAATTGGGGTCCTTTGCAAGAGCAAGTAGTGCTCAGGAGTTGAGCTATCTTTCCAGCCTGGGATAAACTAGAACTAAACATGAATGTTCTTATCTTTCAATTCCACATTATTAGCTTCTGGGTTTTTGGTTTGTTTGTTTTTTGAGACAAGGTTTCTCTGTGTAGCCCTGGCTATTCTGGAATTCATTCTATAAACCAGGCTGGCTTTGAACTTAGATCTGCCTGCCTCTGCCTCCTGGCTGCTGGAATTAAAGATGTGTACCACCATACCTGGCTTTTTTTTTTTTTTTTTTAAGTCTCTAAATAAACATGTGTATATATATATATATATATATTTGGACTATGGGAGCAGTGACAGGGATCAAACCCAGAACCTTCTACATGCTAAGCAACCTCCCTAAGACTAGTAAGAGCTATATTCTTTATCTCTTATTTTTCCTCACTATATGGTTAGCCTTGAACCCACAATCTACATGCCTCAGCTTTCCAGTTGCTGGGAAAATACTAATACTTGGCTCCTTGATAATACTATTAAATAAAATAAAAAGCCAAGTGTGGTAGCAAATAATCTCAAGTGCTTGAAGACCACAATAAATTCAAGGCTTGAGGCCAACCTGGCCTATAAAGCAGATGTTATGCATACCTGTAGTAAATACAATGACTCTTTATTCACTTGTATTCTTGGTGGCACTTTGCGCTGTTATTTTAAAGAGAATGTTAACCCTCATTTTTTGTCCCTGTAAAGATCTATGCACACTCACCAGATCTAAGACCAGGGAAAACTCTGGTGTGCTTCTTGTTTTCAAAGGAAGAGCAGGTTTCCTATTTAGTTGTTCTTCTGTCAGAGGCGGAACATGTTTGATGAAATAATAGCTATAAATAAAATTTTAACATTATTATTTCATACATATAAAACAGTACTAAATTCTAAATTTTAATTAGCTTGTGATGCACTCAGCTATACAGCACTTGCCTAGAATGTACAAAGCCTTGGCTTCCGTCCCTATAAGACACACATACATACACACACACACACACACACACACACACACACACACACACACACACGAATGCAGACAGACGTGTGATGGCTGGTCTTCACTGTCTACTCCACTGGACTTATATGGCACAAAGGAACTGCTATGTCAGACTGAATTTTAAATTGTGACTCAAACACATCTTCACTGATTCCAACAAGAACAATTAACATGTTTTCAACTACAAGAAATTTTTGTTTATTCCTATAGTGGAGCTGTTCTCAAACTGTGGCTCACAACTCCTTTGGGGTCAAACAGCCCTTTCACAGGGGTCACATATCAGATATTTACATTATGATTCATAATAGTAGCAAAATTACAGTTATGAAGAAGCAACAAAGAAAATTTTATGGTTGGGGGTCACCACAACATGAGGAACTGTCTGTCATTAAGGGGTCCCAGCATTGGAAAGGTTGAGAACCACTCTTGTAGTGTAAAAAAAAAATCCAGGCTTTGGGACTTAATGAATTCTTGGACAGCATTGTCTTCATGCTGATGTTTGTGGAAATGTTTTTTCTGGAAAAAATAAAAATTATCTGTTCTTCCGAAAGGACCGGAGTTCAATTCCCAGCACCCACATGGCAGCTCACAACTGTCTGTAACACAAATTCCAAGGGATCTGACACCTTCACACTAATGCACATAAAATAAAATGTCCAAAATGACTTTTTTTTTCTTTTCCATCAGCTCATAAGGTACCCACTTATCAAGCCTTTTCAACTTTCCACTTATTTCTATTACCAAGTGACCACTGAATGCAGACTGAGTTACTCAGCTTGGATTCGGTTTTTGTTTTGTATCCTCTCCACAGTATAAAAGAAACATCAAGGGCTAGACAAAGCAGCTCACACCTCTGATCCCAGCACTTATTAATTTAAGGGCCCCCTGGGCTACACTTTGAGTTCCAGGCCAGCCAGAGCTACATAGTAAGACCTTATCATCTAAAGTTAACAAAAAAGCATACCGTAAGCTGTAAGTCATTAGCAAAAGAAAAAAAGCAGAAATGTGCATTAAAGTGACGTGCAGTACAACCTCATTTATTTAAGTGTCCACTACAAAAAGATGGATATCAAGAATGCTATGGCTGCATTTACTTGTCCTCCAATCTAACAGAATCACCTAGAAGACAGTAATCTCCATGTATGTGTGTCTCTAAGGGTGTTTCCAATCATGGACTAGGGTCCTGAACTAAATAAAAAAGACCAAAGGTGAAAGCTAGTAACACAGAGAGCATTCACTAACCTCTGCTTTCTGACAATAATAGATACAATGCAGTCAGCAGCCTCATACTCCTACCGGGCACACTCAGCATGCATGGTCCCATGGACTGCATCCTTAAGATGCAAGCCAAAAATATCCTTCCTAGGGGCTGGAGATATGGCTCAGAGGTTAAGAGCACTGGTTGCTCTTCCAAAGGTGCTGAGTTCAATTCCCAGAAGCTACATGGTGGCTCATAACCATTTATGATGAGATCTGGTGCCCTCTTCTGGCATGCAGGTGTACATGCAAACACACACTGTATACATAATAAATAAATCTTATAAAAAATATCCTTCCTAAATTGCTTCTTGTCAAGTATTTAGTCACAGCAATGAAGCAGTAATTAACCCAATACTTAACCCAGTAAACTAAATTTAGAAACCATGTAAGTAAGAGCACACAGATTAGTATCTCTAAAACTAGTACTAATACTCACAGGTCATGATCACAAGCTCTTCATAAAACAGATGCCTCTCTCTCCCTCTCTGGTTTTTCTGTGTAGCCTTGACTGTCTTAGACTCGCTTTGTAGAGCAGGTTGTCCTTGATCTCACAGAGATGTGCCTGCCTCTACCTCCAAGTGCTGGAATTACAGATGTGTGCCACCTCGCCCGGCGTAAATTAGAGGTCTCTTATCATGAGATTATTTCCCACTTTTACGTCAAAAATATCCTAAGTTAAAAATGTATTTACTTTACCTAGACTAGCAAACATAGTCTAAGAAAATAGAAAACCTAAGTTAAGCAATGCAGAGCATCAACTATCTCCCATTGTGAGTACACAGAAGAATGAGAGATGGAGTTCACTGGCCATCATCACAAGTATCCTGTTATATACTGCTGACATTGGAAAAAGTATTCAAATTCCAAAGTAAGGTTCCTACTGGACAAACAAAATTTTTCAGTTTAATAATGAAACTGAAAGTTGTTCAAGAAAGAAAATATGATAAACAACTCACGGGTCAAATACTTCCCAGTCTTCCTCATAGGTGGCCTCTGCATGAGCTGACGAATAACCACTCTCTGGAGTTACTGGTGCTATTTAATAAGAGGAAAAGAATAAGATTACTTTCATCTGTCACAAAATACACTTTTAAAACTGCTTCTTGAGGTCCTGTATATTTTAGCTTAAAGATATAAACAATTTACAAAGATCACCTAAAAGCAAATTTAGTAAAACAAACTTAGCTCTACATCCAAAGGAAATTAATTACTGCTATTGATGGCCTGGCAAACTACAACATGGCTAACAGAATTAAGATGTGTATTAGCTAAGAGGAAATCTACTATTTATTATTAGAGGACAATATTCAGCCACACAAACACCAAAAAACTAGCATAGTATGCTAGTTGGGTTTTTGTTTTGTTTTTTTTTATTAATTCTTTTATTATTTATTCATTTTGTATCCTAGCTGTAGCCCCCTCCCTCATGCCCTTCCAATCCTACCCTCCCTCCCTAATCTCCTCCATGCCCCTATCCAGGTCCACTGATAAGGGAGGTCCTCCTCCCCTTCCATCTAACCCTAGTTTATTAGGTCTCATCAGGACTGGCTGCATTGTCCTCTGTGGCCTGGTAAGGCTGCTCCCCACATAAGGGGGAGGTGATCAAAGAGCCAGCCACTGAGTTCATGTCAGAGAGAGTCCCTGTTCCCATTACTATGGAACCTATTTGGACACTGAGCTGCCATGAGCTACATTTGAGTAGGGGTTCTAGGTTATCACCATGAATGGTCCTTGGTTGGAGTATCAATCTCAGAAAAGAGCTCTGTGCCCAGATTTTTTGGTTCTGTTGTTCTCCTTGTGGAGCTCCTGTCCTCTCCAGGTCTTACTATCTCTCGCTTTTTTGCATAAGATTCCCTGCACTCTATCCAAAGTTTGGTTATGAGTCTCAGCATCTGCTTTGATAAACTGCTGGGTAGAATCTTTCAGAGGCCCCCTGAAATAGGCTGTTTTCTCCTTCTTCCAATGTCCATCCCACTTGTCTTTCTGAATGAGTATTGATCATCTTAACTAGGGTCCTCCTTCTTGCTTAGCTTCTTTAGGTATACAGATTTTAGTATGTTTATCCTATATTATATTTCTAATATCCACTTATAAGTGAGTATATACCATGTGTTTTTCTGCTTTTTAAAACTAACTGGAGTCCTTTTAGAAGGTGGAACCTCAATTAAGAAAATGCCTCCATTAGCCTGGCCCACAGGCAAGTCTGTGGGTATTTTCTTTATAGTCAGGAGTGTCCAGCCCACCATGGGTGTTGCCACCTTGCAAAGATGGTCTTGATTTATATAAAAAAGGTGAGTGAGCTATGATGAGCAAGCCAATAAGCAAAGTTCTTCCATGGCCTCCGCTTCAGTTCCTGCTGTGAGTTTTGTTTGTTTGTTTTGTTTATAAGGGTTTTTTTGTGTTTGTTTTTTGATTGAGATATTTAGCCCTGGCACCCACTCTGCAGAATAGTCCTGGGATTAAAGGCTTGAAGCCACCAGGCCTGGCCCCAAGTTTCTTTTGTTCATGAGACTTACCACAGCAATAGAAAGCACACCAGAGCAATACATTTCTAATTGGACAGTGTTTACATGCGGCAGTAGGAAAACAGCCCTGCACTTACAGGTAGTTAATAAATGCACCCTGACAACAAACCAAAAAGAGTTGTAAAATCTACGGCCCACAAACGCTCTTAAAGTACTCCACTAATCCTGAAGAGATGCAACTTGGGCATTATGTTAAGTAAAATGAGACAGGTTTAAAAAAAAAACAGTAAGTTCACTATGTGGCTGTTGCAAAGAGAGAGGTTGAGCAACAAACACTAAATCTCAGTTTCAAATCAAGCAAGAAGTTCTCTTGTGCTGTTGTACCAAGACTGTAGATACAATGTACTGTACATTTCAAAAAGCTAGAAAAAAAACATTTGAGGAGATAGATAGGTTTAGCCTAATTTAAACATTATAAAATGTACACGTGAATAAAACATTACATAGCACATACCTCCCCTCTCCGTGTTTGTTTGTATGTTGATAGGAAATTATTGCCTTATTCTGTTTTTGTTGTTTTGAGACAATGTCTTACTATGCAGACCAGATCAGCTTTGAATACACTATGTAGCCCAGAATGGCCTCAAATTCGTAATTCTCCTGCTTCAGCTTCCCAAGTGTTGGGATTATAAGTGTTCCAACACTCCTGGATTTTTTCTTTTTCTTTTTTTTCCCCGAAATGGGTTTGGCTTTTCCTTCCTTTTTTTGGTTTTTCAAGACAGGGTTTCTCTGTGTAGCTCTGGCTGTCCTGGATTGGCTTTGTAGACCAGACTGGACTAAGAGATCCACCTGACTCTGCCTCCCTGAGTGACGGGGATTACAGTGCTCCACTGTAGCTGGCTTCTTTCTTTCTTCTTTTGGATTTACTTTATTCTATGTGTGTATGACTGTTTTGTCTGCATGTTATCGGATCCCCTAAAATAGAAATGGCTGTGAGCCTGAGCCTGGGGCCCTCAACAAGAGAAACAAGTATTCCTAACCAACAACCACTGAAACCTCTCTTCAGCCCATCTTATTGTATAAGACAAGGATCTCAGTATTAACTCAAGTTGGCCTCAAACACATGATCCTTCAAGTGTCAGCAGTATGTATAATTTTTCTCATATCATTTACATCTGAAAGAAAAAAAGTAAATGGAAAAGGAGGAGAAGAGAGGTTAGAGTAAAATAGAGCAGAACAGGAAGTAAAAAGAGCCTATGAGCCCAATGAAGACTAAAGAAAGAAAATATATGTACATTTGTCCAAGAATTTCAAGGTTTTTTGTTGTTGTTATTTTGGGTATTTTTTTGTTGTTGTTGTTTTGTTTTATGATCATAAAAAAAAGTTAAGAAAAGCTTGGGGGCTAGAGAGATGGCTCAGCAGTTAACAGCACTGGCTGCCCTTGCAAAGAACCTGGGTTCAGTTCCCAGCTCCCATGTGATGGTTTATAATTGTAACTTCAGTTCCAGGGGATCTGATGCTCTTTTCTGGCCTTTGTATGTAGTCCTGACACCCATATGGTGCACCCATGTAGCCATATAGTGCACAGACATACATTCAGGTAACACACCCAAACATATTAAACAAAAAAATAAAAATAAATTAATAAAAATGGTTTAAAATGTGTAGAAGCAGTGTAGAAATCACTGCTTCATAAAACTTTCCCACTTCAAAATAACCCAGAAGCAATTCTATATTCTGTGTCCCATGGTTCATTCTATTTGCGCCAATACCATGTCAACTGACAGAGCATCAGAAATATTAAAATGAGAATTTACTAACATGCCAATTTTAACTTGGAAGACAAGGGCACAGATGCTTACAAGGTAAACAAGTAATGCCTGAGATAATGTAAGGAGACTCCAATACAAACTGCTAAGTGCTAGGACTACAGATGTGTGCCACCAAGCCCAGCTATTTATATACTTTTGTGTATTTTTGAGATGGGGAGTGTAACTGTGTTACCCAGGATGGATTTAAATTCCTTAGGCTCAAGGAATCCTCCTGCCTTAGTCTAAATATCTGGAATTATAGGTATGTGCCACTGTGCCAAGCTTATTATCACTAAGCTAAATAACTGTTTGAAACTGTCTCAAGAGCTTAAAAAAATAGTCCAAAACCATTAATGTTCTTGTTATTTTAATCCCAGCACTTAAGAAGCAGAGGCAGGCAGATCTCTCTAAGGCGAGCCTAGTCTACAAAAGCGAGTTCCAGGACAGCCACAGATACACAAAAAAGCCCTGTCTAGAAAAAACAACCTAAGCTGAGCATGTCACGGGGAGTGGGGGGAGAATCCCCCAAATAAATTCATTTGAATAAATAATAAAAGCAGCTTTTTATTATTACTATTACTTATTCACTCATTCTTTATTTCTTTGTTCATTTCTTTCTTCATTTACATTTTAAGGCAAGGCTTCTCTTTGGCCCCAGCTGTCCTGGAACTCACTATACATCAAGCTGATCCTGAACTCACAATAGAGATCTGCCTGCATCTGCCTCCTTTAAAAAAGGAATGCTACCTTCTCTAAAGCCTTTTCATAGCATTCCAAAATAGCCAAAATGTGCATTTGCTACTACACTATCATAATTTTCCTGTATATTTAAATCTTTAATTTGACCACAGAAAGTTTAGAGTCAAGGAGCCTATCTCAGTTATGGTGTCAGTAATTCCCATCACAAAAACCATACACTTGTATCTGGGAGTGAGTGGTCTAACAAACCTGCTGAGGCAGGTAGGAGGATTTTAAGTTTAAGCCTAGCCTTAGGACAGGCACAATGGTCCTAAGGCAGAGGCAGAGAAAAGCATTACCTCTGAGTTAGAGGCCAGCCTGGTCTACAGAATCAGTTCCAGAACAGTCATACTGTTCTGCACAAAGAAACCTCGTCTCAAAAAAACAAAAAACAAGCAATCCCAAAAAATGCAGCCTGGCATAGTGGCGCATTCCTTTAATCCCAGCACTCCAGAAGGCAGAGGCAGTGAGTTCAAGGTCAGCCTGGACTACAGAATGAGTTCCAGGATAGCCAGGGCTAGAAAAAAACTCTGCTTGAAAAACAACAAAAATCCCAAAATGGAAAGAAACAACAACTTGGCAAAGTAACCAGCATTAAAAAAAAATATAGGCTACCGGGAAGTCACTCTCAAGTAGTGGCATAAAGAACCAACTATGCACAATCTTTAATTTTACTTTTTTGAGACAGGGTATCTCTATGTAGCCCTGGCTGGCCTGGAACTAGCTATGTAGACCAGGCTGGCCTCAAATTCACAGGTGTCTACCTGTTTGTGCCTCCTTACCCTGCTTCTATTCATGATATTAATGATGTGCTTGTTAATCTCAGTATTATTAAGTCTGAAGTATGTTACTTAGTTGATTCATTTAAAGCATATCTTTCTGTTTTACCGTTTTTTACTTTATACTACAACTACGACAACTGGGTTGTATTTTACAGAAATTTCATAATTATATCTATTTTAATTGATACTCAGTGATGGGGATGGGACCCATGGCCTCATATGCTAGCAAGACATTCCATGAAATGAGCCACATCTTCAGTCCCATAGTTCTACTTTTTAAAACGGCTGATCACAGCAAGACATGGAAGCATATGCCTTTAATCCCAGGAGGCACTTAGGAGGCAATGGATCTCTCAGTTTGTAATGGCGGCCTGGTCTCACAGCTAGGGCTACAAAATAAGACCCAGTCTCAAAAATAAATAAAGAAAAATGGCCAAACACAACATCATCTTGTACTTTTAATGTACTACAGTACTTAGAAGTAATAAATTCAGATCTCATGTGTTCCACACTTCAATGACAACTAGTGCAAGAATGTAACAATTAAGTTAAAACTCTGTAAAGACCTAAGATCAAGCTCCAAAGTTTGGGATAGGGGAAGATAATCTTTTGAGCAAGGGGCCTCCACTTATGAATCACACAAATCTGAAGTCTACCCTCTCTCTACAGAAACTTCAGTCTCAAAGGGCTTAGGCTAGTGCATATAAAGGATTCAGAAACAAAACTTGTTCAAATACGTAATCTGGACATTTAAGAAAAAATATTAAAGACTGTTTTTATAAGTTTTCATAAGATATGGATAGGAAGTGTTTTCTTTACCTGTGAGGGGTGGGATATCCCGGGTAACTGATTCTTCTGCTTCTTCTAACCCATTATTTATGGATGGCCTCACTTGAACTGCTTGATTTGAGTAAGCTGCTCCATTAGCTGACGCAGTGCTGGTAGTGATTTCATCCACCTGTTCCATGTCAAGTTGTTTCACTATCTCCTCAGCTTCCACAGCCTGTCCTGGGGAATCCGAGCCGGACGTTCCTAGAATTATCAATAAACTATGAATCACTTCAAAGCATGAATATTAGAAAAGCTAAATGTAATCAACATTATTGTTTATTTAGATAACCCATAAAAAGTAAAACTGAGGGTATCATTGTTTGAAATATCTCTAAAAAAAACTCACTAAACAATGAGGAATAATGATTATTACAGGCTCTTTTTTTTTTCCTTCCGAGACAGGGTTTCTCTGTGTAGCCTTGGCTATCCTGGACTCACTTTGTAGACCATGCTGGCCTCGAACTCACAGTGATCCACCTGCCTCTGCCTCCCAGAGTGCTGGTATCACAGGTGCACACCAACACACCTGACTTATTATAGGCCTTTTTTTGTTCTTGTTTTTAAGTACCAGGCATTGAACCTAGGGATTCACACACACTAGGCAAGTCCTCTGCCACTGAGCTATACCCCTAGTCTCCATTCACTTTCTGAGGCACAGTATCACTAAGTAGCCCAGTCAGGACATTCATTCAATCCCTCTGCCTAAGCCTTCCAGGTAGTTTCCGATTACAGGTCTGTGCCACCAGTAATATTTATGAACAAAGTTTTCCTTAAGCTCTCAAATAATTCAGAAACACCTCTTTCGTCAAATAATAACTACAATTTAGAACTTTCCTTTAAAGTACTGTGAATCATTTGATAGACATTCATCATCACCAAACAGCTCTCCATTTAGAAAATCAAATCCACTAACCCTTCTAGCCATCAGGGCAGCTAAACTTTCAACCACAGGAAAGTTATCCAAGAACAGGCTAAATGTTTCCTTACCTGAGAATCTTTTTCCTAAAAGACCCAAAATAAAATAATTTTTAAAGGGGCTGAAGAGATGGCTCAGAGGTTAAGAGCACTGAGTTCAATTCCCAGCAACTAGATGGTGGCTCACAACCATCTATAATGAGATCGGTGCCCTCTTCTGGTGTGCATGCATACATTCAATTCAGGCAAAATACTGTATATAATCTTTTTTTTAATAGTTTTTTATTTATTTTTAGTTCACTGGTGCTTTTATATGTCTGAATGAGGGTGTCAGAGCCCCTGAAACTAGAGTTGTACACAGTTGTCAGCTGCTGTGTGGGTGCTGGGAATTGATCCTGGATTCTCTGGAAGGGCAGCCAGTGCTCTTAACCCCTAAGCCATCTCTCCAACACCAATAATCTTTTTTAAAAAGTAGCTATGATTTAAAAAAAAATTTTTTTAACGACATGGTATTAATTTTTAAGACATGATTAGTTTCTCAATAAGATTAATTTTAGTAACACAGAATAAAGGTACCTAGTTCTTCTCCCACTATGAAATCATAGCAAGTCTGTTTCTTCCTTCAAGTATAATTTTAAAGAAAATAACAAATTAACTTCCAGTATTCTCAACTTCCTTATACAATACTCTTCATCCCTTAGTGCTTTAATACTAATCCCTCTACTAAAAGTATGTCTTTACCTGATACACAACCCCCAACATTTTTATTCTTCCAGCTCCAATACACATTTATCTCCACTACTACCAGTTAGCTGATTTTTCACTAACAGGCAAAACAAAGAATAAAAGCAAAAAGCACAACTACTTGAGATTAATGTTTTGTGACAATGTGGTTTTTTGCATCCATCTACCATATACTACCAGCAACAAACTCTCAATTACACACAGCTCCTACTTTGTCATGTAGTAGAGAGGAATGCTTTCCCCCATCTGTACTTCTGTCCTCCAGCCTCAGGAAAAGTCTCCATCTTGCTTACGTGTTACTCCCCTCCCATGTTACCTCTTATCCCAGGCCAGTCAACAGCCTCTACTGGTTTTCACTACTCTATTTTCAACTCATTACTACTAGATCTTTCTTTTCCTTAGGCATAAAGATATGCTTGGTCTCTGAGACAAACAATTCCTTCAGACTGTGTAACTTCTTTAATTTTTCTTTCACAATAAAATCTTCAGAGACCGCTAAACTTGTTGCCATTTTTCTAATATCCATTTTATTTGTCTAACTCAATGGTATTAAGCTTCTAAATTCATGTGTTACTCTAAAACTGTTCTGGCAAAAGAAACCAATGCCCTTCTAGTTATTAGATACAGTCAGATGACATTTTAATGATCACCTCCATCTCCTCTATGACATAATATGCCAAAAAACCCAAAAAGGTTTCTTTTCTTTTTTTGGTTCTTTCCTTTCTCTGTGTAGACAAGGCTGGCTTTTAAAGAGATCTACCACTATGCTCGACTCAAAAAGATCTTTCAAAACTATAATTTTAGTTAATGTTTATAAAAAAAATAGATTTTACTTACCATTTTTATTTGCTGGTGAAAAAAAGTTGAAGACAGGAGAAAATATGGTCCCCAACAATGTAGTCCTTGGAGGACTACCCGAGCAAGTATTATCTTCTAATTTCCCATTTTGTTTTATATGTTGATTTGTCATTTCGTAACTACCAGCTTCTAAGAAACAGGAAAAAAAGTAATGTCTAGAAAACGCTGCATTTCAGGTTTAAATGCTATAAATCATTTTTAAAAAGTATTTCCTCTCAAAGTATCTCATGTAGACTGCCATTAATGTTCATGAAAACTTATTAGAGAAATTCTGAGGCAAATTTCTTATACAAATGATTTTAATGTATTTACAATGCTTTATAAATATTAACATTCACTACATTTTTTTTTCAAACCTGTTTACATCTAAAGTTTAAGAGACTAAAAGGTTTCAAATCAGCATAGAAAATAAAGAAAATCCATATAAGCAAGCAAACAAGTTACCAATTCCAACACACAGACACAAGTTTCCTGCTGTTTATATTTTGTAACATTAGTTTGTTCCACAAGTTTTTGTACATTATTTCAACTAAGTTGTCCCAATGTTGATCCATACGCCTTTCTTGGGTGTTGGAAACTGAGCACACTATTGCAAGTACACCACCTAGCCCCAGTCCATGTACACTTATGAGAAATAATATAAATCTGGTATTCTGCCTTTACTCATCTTAATTCAAAGTAAAAAATTTTAGGAAGATAATTTTGAATTTCACTTGATGCTTTCAACTAATATGCAGTACAAAAATTGATTATAAAAACATGGCAAAAATTACTCGAAGTGCTTTGCTGTTCTTTGAGAGAAGATTTTTGATTTGTTGCTTAGCCTGGCCTTAAACTCTGGATCCTCTGCCTCCTGAGTGCAGGCACAGGCCACCAAAGGTTTTTTTTAAAACAAAGGCTCTAGCAGGTGAGGAGGGACTTCTGCTTGAAGAAGGAAAGATAGCATTAAAGTATCAACCAACCTCCATTGACTGGACTTTTCCGCCTTACTCGAGACAATTGTTTGTTAGGCTTCTCTCCAGCTCTTGGTGTTGATGTGATCAAATTATTATCTATATCACGTTCAATTCTACTCCGTTTCGAAGGATTTTCTCTCTCTTCCTTAAGATATAATAGAGAAAGATCATTTAGCATAATTATTCTGCCTTGCATTTTAACTGAAATATAGAATACTTCCTCCTGCTTTTCATATCTTGAAAAAACAATGAACATGAAGAACAATTAACATTTTTAAAGTGTTGATAAATTTCCCATGTTCCAAAATACTGAACTTTACAATATGCTCTCAATTTTTGACCAACTTACAGAGTTCTAAACAACAAAGCTCATTTCCGTTGTCTCTAGAAAGGAAGCCTCACAGAATCTGCTGGTGTTCAGATTACCAAAACATACAGCCTACCACTACCAAACCCCCACTACTCAAGTTAATATCTAGCACTCTATTTGCTGCCTTACTTGAGGTGAGTCCACAGGGCCTATTTACACTACTCCTGACATATAACTGACTAAAGGGAGTCAAGGGACTTCCAAGGGAGCTGGAGAGATGGCTCCACAGTGAAAAGCAGTTTAGCTCTTGCAGAGGATCCAGGTTCTAGCCCCTGCACCCACATGGTGCCTCACAACTACACACAACTACATTTCTAGGGGGATCCACACCTTCACCAACACCAGGCACTACTACAGCACACATACATATATGCAGGCAAAACACACACACACACACACACCACACACACAAACTAAATAAAATATATTTCCAAGCATTACTCTACTTACTTTTCTCAATTTATGCATCTATTTTTCTCCTTTGGAAACATTTCCAGAGCATTACTGCATAGTCATTTTCTTGCATTACTATGATAATACTCTACAATTAGTTGCTACTTTAATGAGATAAACTAATGCCATCTGATAAAGACTCAATTTTCAAACATACAAATGATAATTTCTATTAACAATATTCTTATCTACCTTGGTTCATTGCTTCACTCTGGTCTTATTTTGGGTGTTTTAAATAATTTACAATTGTGTATGTGTGTGCATGTTTATGTGTGTGTGCACACACACACGTGCATGTAAGTAGTATATGGGTGTCTGGAGGCCAGGGGACAACTTAGGAAGTCTTGGTGGCAAACGCCTCTGCACATTGAGCCATCTTCCCAGCTCCTTTGAAGTACTTTTAAAATACAGTAGCAAAGGGATTGGAGAGATGACTCAGCAGTGAAGAGCATGCGCTGTCCTTCCAAAGAATCTGACTGGCTTCTAGCACCCGTGTCAGGCAGGCCATCCCTACTATAAACTCCAGCTCAATAAGGATCTGCACCCTCTTCTATCCTCTGGAGACACACCACATACCTATTAACCAACATGCACACTTCTACACACATAAGTAAAACAATACAAATAAATCTTTCAAAACCTACAGTAAGCTGGGCGGCACTTGGGAGGCAGAGGCAGGCAGATCTCTCTGAGTTTGAGGCCAGCCTAGTCTACAAAGAGAGTCCAAGACAGTCCAGGGCTACACAGAGAAACCCTATCTTGAACAAAAAAAAAAAAA